GGTGAAAAAATAAATTATGTCCATATTTTAGAGGGAAAACAGGATAAACATATGTAATGAACAACAGGTAAAATTCAAAACCTTTTGCTGATCATTGCTGCTCAGGTTTCCCATCTATTATAACTCCAAGCCGTCTCATATTGAGGTCAACATAATTCAAAAGCAAACAGAATGACAAACAAGAGAATGAGATAGAGACCGATTCCATCAATTTTTTGCATTCAATCCTGCACAAAAAGTTCTGGTCCATGCCTTCCTCTGTATCCTAAAAAAGATTTACAGAAGACTGACTAGGATGATCAATGGCATGGGAATAATTTCTACAGGCAGCAATTAAGTAGGCTAAGACCTTCCTTGACCAGACATCAGCTAAGCCAGAAGTTTACCAAACCTGGAGCAGCTTGGAAAGCATGACTGGAAATAGACCAGTTGCTATCTCCTCCACTGTAAAAACCAGGAGCATCAAATGAATCTAGCAGAAGACAAGGCAAAACAATTAAGAGAGAGTGATTCTTCACAAGATGTGCGGTTATGAAAAATCATTCCATTGGAATGCAACAGATTCACAAGGTAACTGAACAAGGAGTTAACTGATGGCTGTTAAACATGAAAGAGCTTAAACTGCTGTCAGAATATTTAAAGAACACACCACCGCAATGCTCAACTTACTCATCTTCAACAACTTGTTTGGCCACAGTTGGAGACAGAATGCTGCAGATGGCAGATATTTAGTCTGATTCAGTTCAGCTCTTTTATGAGCAGCTATCAGCTGGCTTGTAATCAGGCTTTTTTCAGTTCAGAAAAGCTAGATTGCATATTAAGCTTAATTTTTTTTGCCTAAGAATTTCGAAAAAAGATGTAGTTTTGCAGATGGTTGTACTAGTGGTCCTGTACCATGCACTTTAACAAATTAAAATGCAAGAGCAACGTGGCCTATGAAACAGTTTTAAGAGCTGCCTCTCAGCTCAAATGAGCAAGGTCCTGCCAGAATAAAGCAGGGCTCTGTACTTTTTAAGGGACCAAGGACAAGGCAGAGGGAGGGATGACAAATAGTTACTGACAGAGTTTACAGACAACAAACTACAGGAGTATTAAGTGATTAAAAAGATAAAATCATTTGTCCTGAGTCAACTGTTCTGTGCCCCAATTAAGCAATAGAGTCCAGATTTCTAGTTATATCTTCAACATAGTGAATACAGATTAAAAATCTAAATACAGGATTTTTTTTTTTCCTGTTTTGAACAATGTAGTTTCCTGTGCCCCAGATTTCACAACTCTGCACCAATGGTACAGTATGCACTTTTGTCAGTCTTGTGAGCTCAGCAAGAAGAGAGATCCTGCCTCCCCTTCCCCAGAGAGAAACAAAAGATGAAGTCACAGAACATCATATAAAAAGTGATTCCAGCCAGACAGGCTTGTGTATTTACGTTCCAATATCAGAAGTCAAGCCATATTCTCCCAAAACATCAACTGCAACCTGAAACATACTGTGTCTGTAAGACTATTTGTGATGTCCTACCTCCAACTGGCAAGAGGCCAATTCCAGCTGCTTCTTGTATTCTCCTCTACTACTCAAAAATTTCTCAAAAAAAGGTCTCTTGCCTTCTCCAGTGAGAAAATCAGTGATTTTCTCTACCTGTTTTCCCTGATAAATCAGCTCACCATCGTTCTTTGCTGCTATGGAAATGGATCTGTTCTGTCAGAGCCATTTTCTTTTAACATAAAAAAAGGCCTGTCATCTGGTATCATTTGAAGCAGTCAGAGTGCAGCTGGAAGTAAAACACATTTTGACTGCAAGTACCAATTCTATGGGTCCTGGGAACATGATTTTTCCATCTCCTGCTCTTAATCCTTCCTGTAGGCTGGACTCCTCTTTCTAAGGTGTGCTGCAGTATCACACTAGCTTAACTACTGCAGCAGAGTCCTGAGAAAGTCTAAGAGAGGCCAACAAGGTGGAGCTGAACTACAAGTTCTTAAATCAAAAACACAAAACAAAAAACAACCACTTTTCATTGGAAGAGCTACAAGATTATATTTGTCCTTAAAAGTTTCTTTGATCAGAAACCCAGAGATCCGTCAAATCACAATACAAAAAACAAATGCTGTGAACAAATGCTGTGAATGGCTGTAGCAGGAAGAGCTGTTAGGAGGAATGCTAGGCTCCGGATATCTCATTCTTTGATCTTTCCACTTTACCTTTTGGAAGATGAAAGAAAATCTCTACCCTTGTAGGCAGGGAGTGTGGCACAAGCATGGGGGTACAACAGCCATTTATTTTACTGTAACAATCCCCAGATCAACCTAGATTAAATGAAGACTTGGCTGCAGTCTAGAAGACTGGCTCTTCCTCTATCTCAGCCTTAGTTATATCTGGCTTTGAAGAAGCAATCCAAAATCATCACGGGTGACAGGGTTTTCTATCACTCCCTTCCCACTCCTCATCCTTTTGACAACAGCCTGCTTTCTGTTCAAGCTTATGCATCTTTGCCCCTTCGCTCAGGTGCTTCTCTGTTTTTCCTCTATTCCCGCTCTCGTTATTTCACCAAGCATCCAAGCCCTCTGCTGGTTAAGTGCTGCACCGTGTCCCAGAACGACCCTTTCCAAATTCTTTCCCGCTAAGCCATCTGGCAAAATACAGAGCGCGCCTGTTACAATACCACTCCACCCTGAGTGCTCGCTAGGTTTTCTTCTGCTGCGGAGAAGTCTGTCTGAAAGTCTTCTCCAGTAAAATTCCTACTCTGAGAATGGAAAATTTCAGGCACAAACTTTATGAAAGTTACAGTAAAATGAAAACAGAGGAAGTTAACAGAACCTCATGTACTATTTTGGAAACCCTGACCCTCAATGTAACTTCTTGCCAGAACACACTTGTCACAAAAACGTTATTTCCAAGCAAGCCAACATTGCCCCAAACAGTTTTCTGTCACAGCTCAGACTAATCTAAGAACATTAGCTATTCTGCTTTTTTTTTTGATGCCTTGGGGCTTTTATTTATCACATTATGTATATACAAAAACACTTGCACAGCTGAAGCTTTTTGAATTTGCTTTTAAGCCCAGAATTTAAAGTGATTATAATCAATTTATGTTAGGAGAATCAGATATTGCTTAGAGTCAGACATTGATTCTCTCCTCCCTCCTCCTTCTGTTTTAAGTTAACTCAATCTTGTCTGTTCAGCCTATTGTAAATTATTCCAACCAAAAATGTGTTGCATGTAAAGTCTGGTCTCAGCAATAGCGGAAAGATTTAAAAGAAGCATTTGAAGATAAAACCCGTTTTCTTGATATAATGGTTAGTATTTATCAGAAAGAAAAACTTTGAATTAGTGTGACTCCTTAGTACCTTTTTATCAGTACCAGGAAACAAACCACCTACTTTGCAAATAGTTTGAGAAAAACTGCATTCACTGGGCGTTTTAACATAGCCAAGTTCCCTTTCTGGTATGCTATGCAGTTATGGAAATCAGAATCCTGCCTTACATTTACCATTTAGGGGTGGTTATGCATTAACAGTTCTAGTGTCTCCCTTCCTTCATCTGTTCAGAAAGAATCCTCTTTCTGCCAGGCCTACACACCCTCCTTCAGAGGACAGTTCACACTCTAGATCAACTCAGACCTTGGAAAAAAGTTTACAAGAATACACAAGAAAGTCACCCCAACGCTAGCCCTAGCCACTGTTTTTCCAAGGGTCCAAATGCATTTTCTGAATAGTCTTAAGCAGTTCTCAGAAGGCAACAACTTTAAAACTATTACCTGCAAGTATTGTGAAAATCATAAAAAACCCAAGGAACAAACACACCTCAAATTTGGGTATAAGCCTACTTTTCTGTCCTCCCAGAAGAGAGCAATAAGTTTCTGATCTGCTAGCTTATGACACAGAGGTTTCTTGAAAACCCATTTTTCTTTATTTGCAAATGGTTGCTTGTACAAGCACAGCAGTCTTTCCTGCATTGCTTGGAAAGGGCAAGTTTTCTACTCCTTATTAAACAATCCCATAGGATTCTGAGCAGGCTTAATGTCTTCAATTTACTAAGTTTCTACTAGCCAAAATATACTATCACTTCAGTAAAATAAAGACTGAATTAAACATTAGTATATTAGCTGTCAGATTGTCATATCAAAACAGCTCTCTTTAAATAAAGAGAGGCTCAAGTAGACTCATCAATGGCCACAGGCACGTTACCGTGTACATCAATGGCCACAGGATCATCACACTCAGGTGTTCTACGTGCACACTAGCATGAGAACAGCAGATAACTTCTTACATTTTTCCTGCTAGCTAACATCAACACCAGATGATTTCTTGGGGGACAGTAAATTTTCCCTGCTTTTGTGTAATCTCTGGAGACGGCTGATATAATGCAGCTACTCCAGCATTACTACCATTAAAGCATTGCTGAAATAACCATCTCATTACACGCAGTAATGAAACTATATTTTATTATAAGCAAAAACAGCTTTTATATCACCAAGAAACCAGGACCTACACACTTTTCAAAGAGCTACCCATATAGAAACCGCTGTACTTCGAAATCAACTAGTACTTCCAATTAGAGAAAAAAGCATAGAGTGTTACAAAAAGAAACAAAACCAAACCCAAAAGTAATCAGAAAAAAGTAGACCTCACATTAATTATGTAAAATCTGCCATATCCTGGTCCTTCCAGACAACGATAGTCACTAGCTCCAATTCACGGTATTCCAAAATAAAAGTGACTGCTAGTTCAAATCTTCTCAATGTTCTCTGCTTACCAGTTCCAGACATGCAGTTTGGCAAAGACAATCTACTAGTCCACACTGTGTGCTCTTCAGAATCATTTTAGCATTTCCTTCTTCCAAAAAAGAAAACAGAAAGTCACCAAGTACATATACTGCATCTTTGTGGAGGAAAAAGAAAAAAAAAAAAAAAAAGGGTCTGATGCAGTGAGAAAGCTATGTAGACAACTCGTAGGCAACAGCAGAAGCATATCTAAGAAGTCTGGAGAAAGGCAGGAAACCATCTTCAGTATTCTGCATTGAAAGGGTAGTCCTTGTGAGTTTTGCACCTGAAGGAAAATCAAAGAGGAAATATTATCTCATGTCTGAAAAATACTATATGCAGCTGTAACTTCCGTAAAGAGCCACCAAGGGAGGAGCTGAACCGTATAAAAGTAGAGTCAATTTGTTTCTGTCTTCCTTGGTGATGTGCTGCATTTGAACACAGAAAGATTCCTAAGTGCCTTCTGTTGTTCAGGCTCTGACTGTTTTGGGTGATGCGACCTAGGTGCTCTGTAGACAACTAATTCAAGGTTTCACTGTTGACTGCCAGGAAGACCTTTTTTCTGGCCTTCCAACAAAGATTTAATAGCTGGCTTTAGGCTTCCAAATTACAAATCTTTATATTACGTTTTGAATGTTCACCCACTTTCCCAACCACTCCTGAAGAACATACAGTCAGTTTTTATAATATACCTAAGGGTTATGGCAGAAAGACAAAGTAAATTCCACAAGCAAAATTAGTCAAGAATTTGAGTCTGCATCATGTACATTTCTCCAATATGGAGAAAATAAAAATTATGAATAAGAAGCCTCCTGTTGCAATTCCAGCTACAAAATGTTTCTTGGAGGCTGAACTGAAAATGAAGTTTGCTTTACGCTCATCATGATTTGGTTCATAACATGAACATTTAAAATCTTCCTCTGAAAAGTTATTTTGAGAATGACCCCTTTGGAAATTGAGTTTGCATATCCTGAATTTCAACCAATCCTAGTATCTACAACTTCATTACTAAACTGTGACATACTGATAACTTAACAGCTTGAAAAAAACCACCATTGCCACTTACGTGCTCATTGCACAGACTCTCCAGTTTCTATTAAAGCTGAGAATAGTTGTCATCTCCTCTTTAGTCAATTCGAAGTCAAACACCTAACAAGAGAAACAGCTGGAAATCACCTCTCTGAACAAATCAGAGATTGTAAGCAACATTCACAAAATTAAAGAACAAGTCCACAGTGTAAGGGTGCTTGTTAGAAGAAATCCCTGTTTCATGAAGGAGGGAGAGGAAAAAAAGAGACAGCTCTCTGGATTTCTGAGACTACACTAGCTGGAGTTGGGGAGGGAGGTGAGCAGGGAGATGGAGGAATTAAAAATCTCAAGTTGCAGTCACATGTGCCAGTTGTTCTAAGAAGCTTGGAGAGCACTTAGTGGTGCAGAATGCCTCCATTCTCCATTTGTGAAAGATGCATCTTTCTGCCCTATTCCAAAGGAACATCTACAAGGCTTTCACATTCCACCTAATGCAACCAAGGGTCTTCCAAAATCCTAATACTGGTTTCAGTTAACTGAATCAAGAGCAGCAACATGGTTTATGGACACCAGGACTACTTTAACAGTGCTTGCTCTACATAAGCCTTTTGTGGTGTGCCACTGCACTCAGTGCCCAAGCAAGCTCCGTCAGCCAATTCATCCATGTGACAGAACAGGAAGCACGCATCCCACAACGTGACTGCTGAGATTATCAGCATACTGTTTCCAAAAGCTTTGTTCACTCCTGCTCTCCAACTGCAACCTTAAGTTTAGCCCTCAGTAGACTGTAAGTAAACATACAGAGAGGAAAAAGCCCAGTCCTCTTGCCTGAGGAGGACTTGGGAAGGGTGAAAAAGGATCGCTGCTTGCTCTGCAGGGGGAAGGCATGCCATCCCTGAACATGCCATGCACCCACGTCACCCCTAATGACTCACCTTGAAGTTCTCCACAATGCGCTGTGGTGTGACAGACTTGGGAATCACAATCACATTTCTCTGGATGTGGAACCGAATAAGAACCTGCAAGATGCATATCACTGAGTCAGAGAGAGGATGGCTTTTGTTCTATGGCAAGCAGGGCCTGTTCCAACAGTTGTTTGCTGTAAACTGTACAATTCAGCAGAATTAACCGATTTCTGCAGAGCTATATTTCAAATCATACCTGAATTCTAAGCAGCACTTTCTGAAGAGCAAATATAGAAGTGGTGGAGCCCCACACAGGCGGCCTCCTTTCCCATTCAGTTTAGTGATACTTAATTCCTTTCTTTACCACCTAGACTTCTAGTAGGCTATACAAGCAAGGGTTCACTTCTCTGCAACAGGACTTGAGATGGGAAGACTAAAGCATGACAGCATCTGAAGATAGGTCAAGGAAACATTTCTTGTTGATGGTCAGAGAGCCCTTACAAGCACACACTGAAGGCCACATAGTAAACAAAGCTGCATTGCTCTTGATCACCACAGAAGAGCACCACAGTTGACAGGGAATGAATAGCCAGCTGTCCTTTACATTGTCATTAGCTGTCCTTTATGCTGTGTTACAGGAAGAGGTACCCACTGTCTGGCACCTACCTACCTGTGCTGGGGTTTTGTTGTGCTTGACTGCAATCTCTTTGATCTTGGGGTCATCCAGAAGGGAAGGATCCTCTGGCTTAGCCCTACACAGACAAAAGTAAAGATCAGTGGCAAGAAACCTCCATAGATCCATCCTAGCAGAAATCTGCATATGGATGAATAACTAACAGTGCATTTGCAGTCTCAACATTTCAAGCATAATCCATGCCAGCTCCCTTGCAAAGCACAAAGCAGCCTTACCATGGCCTGTCAGGAGAGCCAAGCGGACTGTATGCTGTCACAGCAATCCCTCTGGATTGACAGTACTTGATCAGCTTCTCCTGGGTAAGGTATGGATGACATTCGATCTGTCAATATAAGTGCACAAAGAGTGATAGTGATTTAAGTGCTTTAACATCTTGCAGGGATTAGTTTTTAATCAAATCAAAGGCTGATTTTTGTTCTTATAGTCTCTGTGCAATATTATGCAGCCTTTGTTTTCTGTATGTCCCCAGTCTCTTTCTACTATCTGTAGTAGTTCTCCTCGCAGTGAAGGGTCCAAGGACTGTAACACCACTCCTTACAACTTTGCTGATCCATATAATCTCCAACATATGGGATCACCAGCTACATAATTGCTTAAATGAGACAGTTCAGTAAAACACACAAACAAGAGAACTGTAAGATCATAACAAAAGGACAGCAGACCAGTAAGTACAAAGTTCTCTTTTCATCCCTAATTAAACACACCATAATGTCTTTTTTTTTTTTTTACGACTACCATATTAACTTCAATACCAGTATTGTTTCATTCATTTTTATTTGCTTTGTGTCAGTACCCGCACTGAATACCTCCAGTCTGCAAACAGTGAGAATGGCTAACTGCTACAGATTTTAGACCTTCAGCTTACTGTCCATTATAGACTTTATAACACATGTATGCTTACCATGAATTGCCGTAAGAATATGTACATAACAGAATACAGGCTCCTTAACAGTGGATCTGGAGTGGATTCTGGCAAGCTAATGCACAGATATGCAGTATGGAACAGGAATTATTCCAGTGTTAGGAGGCAGTGAATGAACATGAATATCTGATAGTTTGCATAGAGGAACTTTCAGGATAATTCCACACCAGGGATCACTACTTCTCTTTCAGCATGCAACATTAAGAACCTTTTTGACTACACTGTCATTTGAGCCTTCTGCTGCATTCTGAGGGAAGTCCCTGGAAACCTGTGCTACTGGCAAGCAGAGCAAACGAGTGCTAAACATGGGATCAGTTTACAGCCTCGAGTGCTTTATTTGTGGTTCTAGCTGCTTGCCGTTACCAGAAGCCTGCATGGCCGTTTCCCTTCTGGGGCATGTTGGAATATTAGACAACAAGACACGTAACTCAATTTTTGGGACAGATAATACATATTTATTTTGCTTCAGCAGCTCCAGAAACACAGCTACTCAAGAGTAACAGAGCATCTGGTTATTTTTTCAACTATTCAATAGGTAGAATTTATGTGATACAAGCGAGGCAAAGTCTTTACCTGTCCACTGGCATTCAAGTTGAAAAACTTCTGACCTACATTATATTTGGACCAGGGTGAAAAGCCTACGAGGTACACTTAAACAAGTATCTTAAGATAGTGCAATCCACAGTGTGATAATGATCAAGTACTTAAGAGTCAGATTTCCTTACTGAACTAAGTACTAGTATCATTGTAATGTAATTACTACCTTGCCATGTTAATTTCTCATCACAAGTGAAATCAATGGGCATACTAACTGCATTCAAATTAAGAATGGGAATGACACCAGATACAGGTGATTACTGGATTACACATGAAACACCTGCTTAAAGAAAGTGTTTGCAGGAAGCACTATTGTTATTAGGCTAACTGGTAAGCGTTAATAACAGAAAAGCTTTCAGGCTTGCAAGCATTTCTTCAGGAACAGTAAGTTTTGAAGCACAGAGACCAAGACCCATTGCTCTGAGCTTAACTTGATTACAGTAATCGGAGAGCTTGTGAACATTTGCAAGTGAGAGAGATATAAGGTCAGTCACCTCTATGCAAGAGACAAGGGTAATTATCAACTACAGTGATAGTGGCAATGAAGTGTGGCAGATGTTGAAAGGTACCATAAAACTTCTAAGCATCCAAAAAGTACATTGGGACTGATAATGAAAATACACAGTAGAGAATTATGAATTTTGCACTTGTCAGAATGTTTCAGTTTTATGTTGAACAGACTTCCAGAGAACAATCCTATTAGCTTGCTGAAAAAAAAGTGTTAAAACCCCTTTTCAGTACATACACTCAAGCTACCACAATAAACTAACTAGTTCTTGTAACTGGGTATCAATAGCAGTCCTTCGAACTCCATAGCAATCAAGGACAAATCTAGATAGACCCCACAGGGGTCTGTCCTGGGACCTGTCCTCTTCAACAACTTGCAAGTTTGCAGGTGATGCCAAACTGGGGGAGGACCAGTCAAGGGCAGGCCTGACACTTCAGGGGGACCCACTCAGGCAGGAAGAACAGGCCAACAAAAGCCTTATGAAATTCAACAAGGTTGCACACAAAGCCCTGCACCTGGGAAGGAAAAGCCCCTGGCAATAACACAGGCTGGAGCCTGACTGCCTGCAAAGCAACTCTGCTAGAAATGCCCTGGGGGCCATAGTAGGCAGAGCTGAATATGCGCCAGTAGTGAGCCCTGGCAGCAGGAACACAGCGAGTAAGTTGTGGGAAGTGACCATCTGCCTCTACTCAGCACTTTTCAGACCACCTTTATAAATACTCTGTCCCATTTTCCCCCTTCTCAGCCCCCTCAGCAGAAGAGAGATTGCCAGACTGGCATGAATTCAGCAGAGGGCCACCAGGATGGCTGGAGAATCTGCTGTGTTGGGAAAGGCTGAAGGAGCTGGGCTTGTTCAGCTTGGAGAAGGGAAGGCTTCAGGTCTCCTAGTAGCAGCTTTTCAATACCTAAAAGAAGGTCACCCAAAGACAAGCCAACCTCTTCAGGGGTGCATGGCAGGAAGACAAGACACAACAGGCATGAGCTGAGACAAGAGAGGCTGAGACTAGATATAAGAAAATTCCCTCCCTTCCCCATACACCCAAGGCAGGGGGTCAGGCAGTGAGAGAGAGGCTGTGCAGTCTCCATCCTTGCAGGTTTTCAAGATGGATGAAGCCCTGGGCAACCTGGTCTGATCTCACAGCTGATGCTGCTCTGAACTGTGAATTACAGCAGATTATCTCCCAAGGTCTCCTGCCATCTAAACTTTCCTAAGATTTTATTCAAGTGCTGTCTATATACCTGGACACTTCTACTCTATGGCCTACCTTGCAAGTCCATTTCTTCTTTCCTCCCAACCCTCATTAAGTCTGTAAGCAGTCCATAAAGCATATTCCTCTTCAGTTCCCTCAGTCATCAACAACAGGAACCAGCCTCTCCACAGAAGAGTTGCAAAAAGGTCATCCAATTCTGTTAGGTCCTCGTATATATACCCTAAGTTTTACTCTACTTCAAGGTAGTTTTAAAGCTCATCTGAGGTTACCCCCCTGCCTCCAAAAAAGGGGTTCTGGAGCTGCTCGCTGCTAGATTTCCAAGCAGTAGTGCAGAAAGTCCATTAAAAAAACAGCACCTTGTGCATCCAGAAGTAGTTAAAGGGTGGGACTGAGAGAACATGCTGCATCTACTCCATTCTCTCTTTCTATAACCTTCTTATGAAATAAGATCTTAGTAATTCTTTAGAAAAACAACACCCAAACATTTGCCTGCTGTCACTTTGCAGCTTACCTGGTTATTTGCAGGCTTGTATTTCAGTCCTGGCTTGTTCAAGATTCTTTCAATCTGCTCATGGTTAAAGTTGGAGATACCAATGGCTTTTACCAGACCACAGTCCACCAGCTCTTCCATGCCCTAACAAAGAAACGCAAAGTCAGCATCTAGTATACATAACCAGGTCTGAAGAACACGTTCTTTGTGATATAGCTTATTTCCTTCATGAGAAGCACAAAATAAGCATTTAGATTTTCAATGTTCAAGTTTGAGGAAAAAAACAAGAGCACTAGTATATTTGTGCCATGTCTCCCATTTCACCAAAGCTCAAAAACTCATTCTTTGAGACTGTGGAAATTCACAGCAAGTTAGAAGTGGAAAATAATGATACCCAACAACCCACTGCTGTACCAGTCACTCCTTCCAAGTAGTTCTGCATACATGAGACAATTTAGATTGCTGAAGGAAGTGAAAACATGGAAGAGACTGCTGAGAACAGAAGAAACGATTCTCCTGCTGTGGCTAAACTTACCTCCCACGTCTGTAGAATATCTGTGTTGCTGGGTATAGACATGCCTTTGTCATCTGTGGGAAACAGCTCGTCTCCTGCCTGTCAGCAAGAAAGAAATGCTTGAAACACTCTTTGGTGGGAAGTTAGTTAACACCAGCTGAAGACCATGATACCACAAACTCCTACTGCAGGACATACTAATACTTATTATCTACATATGGATTAGATAATACTAATATTTATTATCTACATTTTTCAGTCTTTTGTTTTGCTTTCACACAGGATTATGGCATTTTGGCCAGCAGCCATCCCAATAACGACAGGTACTTACTGGATTCAATGTTCTTTGGTTCACCAATATACACATGGAGAAAACACAACTCCACACACAGAATTATAGCCAGTTGACAAGTTTACTTTCCATATTACAAAAATACACAGTTCTTATGTGGACATAATGGAAAGTTTTATTAACATGTGTAATAAGGACCCACTTGGGACCTGGAACATGCTCAATCTATATTGGACCAGATCTGCTGACAGGTCTTTCACAGGGAGGCTCATTGTTTAAGTTGCTGGCATAGGGAATGTTAAAACAGCCAGTTAGGACTACATACCAGGTATTAAAACCAGTTGTTTTCTACTGATACATTATTACACTGCACCACATTTTCACTTTGCTAGTTCTTTCCATATGAAATTAATTTGAAAAATACAGATGCTATGAAAACCAACTGATCTCAGAAGCACCAAGTAGAAAGAAGATTTTAATCAGGCTCTAACAGAAAGACTAAGCTTAGAAATATTCAAACTGAGATATCAGTTCCTTTGTATGCAGTCAGTAAAAGAGTTAGGAACTAAAAAGCTTCACCTTTTGAAATCCAAGGTCTGTGGAACACTAAGGCTCCTACAGCAAAGGTCAGTTCAATCTGTACTGTATTAAAGGACTCAGTGATTAAAGACAGAAATGGAAGACAGAAAAACATTCTCTTGCTCTGTGATTCTGTAACATGCAGAGGAAAGAATTTCTGTCAGGCAAAGTACAGCCTTTCTTCCCTCAAAGGGGGAACCACAGCATTGTCAGCTGAGCATACTCTGGATTTGTAGAAGACAACACACAGGCAATAATCAAAAGAAGAGCAATATAATTTATGCTTGCAGCAGGGAAATCTGCCCCTAGTTCAAGGTCTACCTCTTCCATGATCAAAAGGGAAGAGGATGCTGTGCAAGCAGGAATCTCAGAGGTAGGGATCAACGGCCTGGCTCACATGGCCAGAGCAAAGCTGAGCACCAGAGCAGCGCTGGTACACAACAGACACATGATTATCTGTGTCGGCTGGAGCAATTACTGGGCTGTAAAGCCATATAGCTCTTCAAAACTGCCAGTCACAACAGACAAAGCCAAAGGCACTGCTATTACTGTACCTTAAAACCAAGAGGCCAGTGGATGAGGTAAAGATCCAGGTAATCCAGTTTCAGGGCAGCAAGAGTCTTCTGGCAGGCTCCCTTCACCAGAGGCTTGTCATGAAATGTGCACCATAGCTAGAGACAAAAAGCCAAGGCACACCGTGACCTCCTGGGTTAAACCTCTTGGAACCCTTCTGTCCTGTTCAGAAGAGTGTCTGTCCCCTTTGGAAGGCAAGGTGGAACTAGGTCATCCTACTGATCTTCAAACAGGGCTTGCTCTGTGAGCAGCGCTGGCCCATGATACTGACAGCAGTACGTGCAGTGGCAGCACACATGATTAAATAATGTCATGGCAGACAGCAGTAGTAGTCTGGTTCCATTAATTAAGACTTCATTTAAAAAGCACCTACTAGAAGGTCAGATACTGCATGAAAGAAGACATCATAACTTCATGCCAGGAAAAGTTCAAAGCATTGCCCATGTCAGTGGTACATACCCTGCATAATTCTCCATACAGGATGAGGCAAAGTAAGACGCTCATCTCAGGAGTGGCCTAAATGATGTTCTGAATTGTTCCATGCTGCACCACAGAGTAGGAAACTAAAGAACTGGGGGGTTACTATGAAAAAAACAGGTGTCTCCTGGGATCCTATACCACCAGATCCATACCTTACTGACAATGAAGAGATCCTCTCGTTTCACAATGCCTTCCTTGATTTTCTGCTGGAGCCCATCCCCAACTTCATTTTCATTTTGGTACACGTAGGCACAATCAAAGTGACGGTACCCAGCATCAATAGCAGCCATCACTGCAGCTGTTACTTTTCCTGGTGGGGACTGAAAAAAATAACATCCAAGAAACTTTAATCAATACATATTCAAGACCTTTTTCCTAGCAAGATAAAATTAAGAAAGTCACTCCACTCAAAACAATCGCCCACTTAAAAGAAAGCAAAGAACACAAACAGCATCAAAACACCCCCCAGTTTTCCCTGCAGCATTCTTGAGTCTGTACACATCTTGAATACAGGCTCCTGAGCTCAAAGCCAGCCTCCAGCCGTTCCTCCGTCACCCAGCTCCCAGGCGGGCCGCAGCCCAACAGCTTTGCAGAGCTGAGGCCCCAACACCGGGGCCGTTCCCCAGGGCCGGGCCAAGGCCTCCTCGCTTCCCCACGCCACTTCCAAGAGGAGAAGCCCTCAGCAGCTGCCAGCTGGGGGGGTTCAGCCCAGCGGAGGGGCCTCAGCGCCCCGCGTCCCTGGGCAGAGCCCTGCAGCGGCGCAGGAGCTCGGGCTGCTGCGAGGGGGCGGCGGGCAGGGAGGGAGCCTCGGTGCCAAGCGCCGCAGCGGCCCCGCCGGAGCGAGCGGGGAACCCCGGCCGGGATGCCGCGGATGTCGCGGATGTCGGTGGCAGCACTGCGCCCAGGGTGGCAGCGGGGACGGGCCCCGAGTCGGGCCGAGACCCGACC